CAGCCTGCCTGCATGTCGGTGATGACCCCTTCTAGAGGTCAGGAATGAAACTTCCTGCTGGTGGTGTCATGCTAATGTTTAAGAAGCTTTAGATTTGCAGACATATTGGATTTCTGGTTTTTGCAGCAGAGCTTCTGGTCCTGTAAAGATCAGACAAGATTGATGTGCGGATGAGTTAATGGCGGTTGGTTCAAGAGGCTGGTGCTCTCCCCAGCATCTTTCCATTTCCCAGTGTACACAATGAGCATGTGTGGGTGTGCTTGTGAATAAAAGTCAGAAGGTAGCCTCAGTTGTTTATCTTGGGGTCCACTTTTTTCAGACAGGGTCTCTCACTGCCTTGGTGTACACCGAGTAGACTAAGCTGGCTGGACAGCTGGACTCTAGGGATCCACCTGTTTCTACCACCATGGCTTGCTTTGTCTTTCTATTTCCTAATGGACATCATATGAAACGTGAAAATGAGTTATTATGTATAATTGACTCATAGTCCCTCCCCTCCCTCTCTTTCCTCTCTTCTTTCAGTATTGACCACTGAAGACAGGGCCTCCTGTATGCTATCCAAACTTTACCACTGAGATACAAACCAAAGATTTTTATTTCCTTAGAGGTTGCTGCTGGCAGTTTTTCCCTTCCAATGTGTGGTGTCATTCTCAGGCTGGACAGCCATAAACATGGAGCTTCTGAGCACACATTTTGATAGTGCATGGGTGGACTCAGCTTACTGCTTCCTTGGTGGAGCTAGTCTATTTCAAATGAATGATTTAATCAGTAGATTGCCTTTTCTACTTTGATTCCCTCAGGATCTCTTCAAATCAACTTATCCCATTCATTTCTTTTTTTAAAAAAATTGATTTTATTGAGCTCTATATTTTTCTCTTGCTCTCCTCCCTGCTTCTCTCCTCTTCTTCAGCCCTCTCTCATTGTCCCCATGCTCCGAATTTACTCAGGAGATCTTGTCTTTTTCTACTTCCCATGTAGATTAGATCCATGTATGTCTCTCTTAGGGTCCTCATTGTTGTCTAGGTTCTCTGTGATTGTGATTTGCAGGCTAGTTTTCTTTATTTTATGTTTAAAAACCACTTATAAGTGAGTAATATGATAATTGTCTTTCTGGGTCTGAGTTACCTCACTCAATATGATGTTTCCTAGCTCCATCCATTTGCCTGCAAATTTCAAGATGTCATTTTCTGCTGTGTAGTACTCCATCCATTTCTTACACTTTCTATTCCTCAATGGAAAGACTCAAGTAACTGGGAGGTTCTTTAGATGAGTAGGAAGATGGCTGGGACACTGCCCACTAATGAGCACTTCCTGAGTGGGAGGGGAAGGGGAAAGAACAAAAGAATGTTCACTTTCTTCCGCTTGGGCTCTGTAGATCCCGTTTCCCTCTCTGTAAGATGACTATGAATTACTGGAATGACTTCCTGACACAACTGATTATTCCTTAGACCTTCTGTGGTACCTGATGCTGCTTGGTGCAACACAATGGCCTAGTTGTCTCCTCCAGTGCCTTGATTTTTGTTTTGGTCTTGTTTGTAATTTTGTCCCCTGTCCTCTGATCTGGACAATGGGAAAAGTTGGAACCGCTCATTTATAGATGGGGTGGTTCTCTGCTACCTTTTTAGAATACACCTGCAGCGACCTCATGGGAGAGAGACTCATGTGTGGGAGTGTGGTAGGGTGTTTTTTAGGGACCTTCCCACTTTTTTGAAACAAGGTTTCTTTGGATACGCCTGTCTCCTCCCTGTCACTGAAATTCTAAGTACAATCCATCATTCTTTGTCCTTCTTTCTTTCTTTCTTTCTTTCTTTCTTTCTTTCTTTCTTTCCTTCCTTCCTTCCTTCCTTCCTTCCTTCCTTCCTTCCTTCCTTCCTTCTTCTTTCTTTAAGACACGGATTTGGGGGCTTGAAATCAGCTTCTCTCACTCACAAGACAAGAACCGTACTAAGTGAATTATCCCACTAACTCATCAGACTGTTTTACTGCTCAATTATTTACCCTTCATAGTCTCTCCTCAGGTGACAGGTGGAGAGGATGCTAGGTGCTCAGGTGTACAATGCCAGAGAAAAAGGCTTTTTTTTTTGTCCAAATTTCCATGCATCTGTGTTTAGACTGATATAGTGATTTTCCCAGATAAACAGGTAGGGACCTTAGGAGGATGAAGCAGGAGACAGAATCTGAATGTAGACGTGAATAGAATTCTGACTGTAAAGCTAGGACACCTGGAACCCTTCCTACTGTGTATTTTTAGCAGAGTACTCCAAGTGAGAAGGGATGGGCAAGCAGATGTGCTGAGAATGGAGTCCAGGACACTTATTCCTGCCGTGGTCCTGATGCTTGCTTCCAGCTGGATCCTGGACAAGAGCTGGAAACAGTTATTGCTTGGCATCTTCCAAGAAGCAAAAGAGAGGCAGATGCAAACCATTTCATTGTAACACTAAGTCATTGGTTAAGTGGCTAGTTCCAGGGAGCAGGTGCTGATGATAGGTAGTTTCCGCACTAAGAAGAGGTAGGTCCTTCCTCTCAGATTCAGACGCCATCCAAATTGCAATAAAAGGAGCCATGAGTGAGTGAGTTCAGAGGATCATAGGTACATTCTTTTAGGACTAGTAACTAGTAACCTAAGGGTGAACGGAAGAAGCAGCCCCCTCCCTCCCNTTTTGCCACGATCAGTCCAGAATCAATGAGCTCTCACTAGGTCAGGTCAGCTGTTTCTGTGGGTATCACCATCATGGTCTTGATCCCTTTACTCATTGTTGGTCCTCCCTCTCTTGGACTAGTCTCCTGGGCCCATGCATTCAAAGCTACTTTCCACTTTCTATTCAGTGAGGTTCAGTGTGATTTATGTTGAGGTCTTTGTTCCAATTGGACTTATGTTTTGTGCATGGGGATAGATATGGATCTATTTGCAGTCTTCTATGTAGCGCACCACATCAGTCTATGCTCTACGCACTACCACAGAGTTCGTGCACTAGGCAAGGGGCTGGAGAATGAAACACACAGACTCACAGACAGAGATGCAGGTCATCCTTGATGCCAAAATCTTTGAAACAGAAATTGTATTGTATTCAAGGGCAGCTTATATAGGGATTCTTAACTGATAGCCATGCTCCAGGCAAACCCACCAGAAACCACTCCCCTGCTATCAGGAACTCCTGAGGGTCTCAAGTTCAGAGCAGCTGCAACCATTACAAGTTGTTTACCAGAAATTCAGGACCTGGGGGGTTCATAGCTCCCAATACTTCTACATGTTGATG